TATATATATAAACCGTTGAATCCCGTCGACATAGGTTCATATATTATTAAGTGTGACATTTTTAGGGGCATAGCTACCTTTAGTAGGGGGTTCAATTGAATCCCTTTTGCTATGCAAATAGGGTAAAAACAAACTTTTCCCATCTATATATATAAATTGTTGAATCCCGTCGATATAGGTTCATATATTAAGTGTGACATTTTTCGGGGGCATAGCTACCTTTAGTGAAGGCGGTTCAATTGAATCCCCTTCACTAGAAAATTATGCTGTGCAAATGTATCCTACGCAGACTCTCCAAAATGCTGCTACACCCGTATTGGATCCTCCAAAATACACTTCTTTTGGAGGATCCGACACACACCCGACGACATTTTCGAGGAGTCCGAGCAACATAGGTGCAAATAGGGTAAAAATAATGTTTTTGTATATATTAAACTGTTGAATCCCCTCGACATAGTTTCTCATAGTATGTGTGACGTTTTTACATTTTTTGGAAACCCCATACTAAAATTCCTGGCTCCGTCATGGTTAGCTGAAATGTTACTGTAATGCTAGATACACTATGAAACCACTGGTCCTGAGATATGGGAAGGCTCGAACGGGAAGATTGATGCGTTTGTCTCTGGAATTGGAACTGGTGGAACAATAACAGGTGCAGGAAAATATCTAAGAGAGCAAAATCCTAACATAAAGGTGAATTATTCTTTAAATTGCACAAACCATTTGAATTATATAGATAATGGGGAATCAATACTTTGTATGCTAATGCTGCAATCGTTATCATACTACAGCTGTACGGTATTGAACCAGTTGAAAGTCCTGTTCTTTCTGGAGGAAAACCTGGTGAGTCGCTTTTCTCTCTTATTTTGGTTTTATATTTCGAACCTTGCATATAAAATGTTGTCCCCTCTCTATTCTGATTATCTGCAAGTATATTGAGCTCAATGGGCAGTGTTATTGTTGTCAAATCGAGCTCCATCAATTTCACCACATTAGATCGCCATAGATTCTTGTAGTAGCATTACGTAGACCTTAAGTTTATTTGGCCTTAATTAAAAATTGAAATAACATATCAAACTTGTTCTAGCTAATGATGCATTTCTAATCTCGCCTAGAGTCTACTCTATGTAGAATTCGTTTTAACAGTGGGAATCGTAAAGCACTGATTCGCATGTGGGATGCATAAGTTAGTTGATCTTTTTTGTTAAACTTCAGCTTCCAATGCAATTTATAGAGTTATCGCAATATTAAGTTTTTTTCTTATGATTTGACATTCGACTTATTTGTGATGCCTAAGGTCCACATAAGATACAGGGAATTGGTGCTGGTTTCGTTCCTGGTGTGCTGGAAGCTAATCTTATTGACGAAGTAATTCAAGTAAGTATGAATGTTACTAGAAAACTCACTTCATAAATTTGTAGAAGCATTTTAAAAGATTTTGAGTCGAAGTCTCTGTTCTGTCATAAGATGATCTTGAGCTCGTGAAAGTAGTATCATTTGGTTTTTGGTTACGAAGTTCTGACCGAAATACGTTTGTTATGATCATAAAAAAAACCAGGTTTCAAGTGATGAAGCAATAGAAACTGCAAAACTTCTTGCATTGAAAGAAGGATTGCTGGTAAATATTAAACGTATAATACTTATACTCAATTTTGTGATGCTTCTAATATCATTTAAACATGAAATTATGCAATGCAGGCAGGAATATCATCTGGTGCTGCGGCAGTAGCTGCAATTAAAATTGCAAAGCGGCCAGAGAATGCTGGAAAACTAATCGTTGTAAGTATCAATTTCCTTTTTCTCAAAACACCTGATCCAAGGATCTTTCAAACAACCTCTCGACCTGCACAAAGTAGGGGTAAGGTCTGCATACACACTACCCTCCCCAAACCCTACTTCAACAATAACAACAACAACAACAAACGTAGTGGAATCCCACGAGTGGGGTCTGGGTAGGGTATTGTGCGCAAACCTTACTTCCACCTTATGAAGCTGGAGAGGCTGTTTGCGATAGATCCTCGGCTCAAGAACAGTGTCCCCAGACCCAACTTATGGGAATATACTGGATCATATGTTATTGTTGTAAATATCTGGCCAATATGATAGATCAGTCCAAGCAGATACATTATCTGTTGCGACGTGTAGCAATATTAGTTGACTCCATGATTTAACAGTTCGGGAATCACTATAGATGGAGTAATGAATTGGTTTTGGCTTTGTTTAAATTTGTTTTTTCCTGATTTCACTTGGAAAATTTAAGAGCCCTGGACATTAGAAGGCCATTTTCAGTCATGGTACTTGTGCCAATACAATATAGTACGACATAAAAACGATACATTTTATTATTGTCTAGAGATTGGGACTACGATACATCGATGGATATGATGCACAAAATCGTTGTGCTTACTGCAAACAGCTCAACACACTTTTCTGTCTGTTTACTCGTAAACCAAGCTATATTCTTGCTCCTAATAAGCTTTACGTCCATCATTATTTGGTTCTACGAGAAGTTTTTCTGACCTACCAATTCTCTTAATGCAATGCATTTTTCGTCTCTTGACAATTCACTACATTGATCATAACCTAACAGTAGAAATTAAGCTATAGTCTTTTCTTTTTGGTTAAGGAGTGTGTGGCTGCTAATCACGCCATTATGCAGGTTATTTTCCCGAGCTTTGGGGAACGTTATCTCTCCTCGGTGCTGTTCGAATCTGTAAGGCGTGAAGCGGAAAACATGACTTTTGAGCCCTGAACCTGTAGTCCTTAGTTTTACCATGATACAATATGGCATTGTAAGTGAATCTTTAGCTTCATGTCAGATCACTCAGATGATACTGCTGAAGATAATAGGTTTTTTCCTCTTCTTTTTTCCCTTCTTGAAATTTGAAAGCAAATAAACCATATATTCGTTCGATGTTAACTTTTTCTATTAAATGTAGTAACCTTCAATCACCAAAGTGACCTGATTGTGTAAATATTTTTGATACTTATTGAGCGTAGAATTTAAACTCTACTCCAATCATGTGCTACTGGAATTCATACCTAATCAATGAGCTAGTTAATTTGTACATGCTGACCCCCAATACCATAAAGGGCAGCCCGGTGCACTAAGCTCCCGCTATGCGCGGGGTCCGGGAAAGGGTCGGATCACAAGGGTCTATTGTAGACAGCCTTACCCTGCATTTTTGCAAGACGCCGTTTCCACGGCTTGAACCCGTGACCTCCTGGTCACATGGCAACAACTTTACCAGTTACGTCAAGGCTCCCCTTCTAACCCGCAATACTATGACGCTACAAATATTAAAAGTTACTGGTAAACTATGTATATGAGACATTTTTCCTAAGAGCTTAGCATTTAGCACTACTTTTTTTTTCCATCTTTCTTCAGAAATAATTATTGGTTAAGGTTTTTTGAGTTATCCTAGTTGTTGATAACATCATAGGGAAATAAACTTATATATTTGCGCATCATTCAATTTCTCCTAAGTTATCTCTAGATCTCCACTTCTTGCGCCATTTCATTCCCTTTGTATATATTTGCTTCTTTCAGCTCTTTTATCTCTCTATATATATATATTGCGCGCATGCGGTATCTTCCTCTTTCTTCTTTGGGAGGAGAGAGAGCAAAGCTTTTTTTCGGAGTATAATCATCTGATATTCTGTACCTACTGGCTCGACTAATTCACGTTCGCGTCGAGTAAAGCCCATTAAAGGGAAAAAGTGGTCAGGTAATTTCTTCATTCTCAGGACTCGAACCCGAAACTTCTGGTTAAGGGTGAGAGTTCTCATACATCCTGCCACATCTCTTTGGCGGTGTAACAAAGCTTTTATATGCAGTACTAATTATAAGATGAATGATGGAAGGTTTTATTAATGCTAATAAAGATGAAGCATGTCTTGCTACAAATAATAGAAATGTGAAAGCCAAGTTGTCTTTGTCTCCTCTTCAAGAAGGAATTTCAAAGCTCTTATCTCAATGGCCAGGCCTACAAATGGCTATTCAAAATGAATGGGGTGGCCAAGATTCTCCTCAAAAATCAAAGCAACTTTCCTTTGATATTCTTTCTTGTCTTTCTCAGTCGAATGGTACATATCCTTTTCCCAATACACAATTTTTTACAATGATATTTAGTGCGGACTGATTCGACTAATTCAGATTCATGCACGTAGACCACTAAAGGACAACTCTCGTACTTTATATTTGATCCGTCCTTTCATTTCAAATAAACGTGTTAATAATAATTTCACATCGTTAGGAAAATAGTGGAAAATGTAGCATAACCAATTAATTTAAACTGTTCGTAATAAAGATTTTTATACTGCTAGCGTATATATAACCTAAATGCTTGTATAAATGCTATTGTTTTTTATATAGCAGAAACTATTGGTGTAGAGGATGTAGAGAATCTGCTTTACGAAAGGTTGCTGTTGTCTTTCAACACTGACATTGATGATGGAAGTATTGAGGAGGTAATTATTATTATTATTATTCATATACAAAATTCCTTCAAGACTGATCAATATTTATAAAATACAATCAGGTTGCGGAGCAGTTAATGACTCTTCGTGAAGAATATGTTCATGGAAATCATCTATACACAACCACGAAATAATTGAGTAGTACAGTATACCATCATTTTCTTCAAGTCTTTGGCCAAGAAATAAATTTTTGTATTTTAATTAAAGTATCTTGGTCGCATCTACTATTCATAACCCAAGAAAACTACTTCTGTCTCAATTTTTGTGGTACCATATATGCGAATTTCGAAGGTCAAACTTCAATTTTAACTCTTGAGTTAAATATAATATTTTTAAGTCTTTTAAAATAAAATTTACATTGAAAACTATATAAAAAATATTATAAGATACAATTATTAAAAATTCAAATTTAAAAGGAATACAAGAAAATTATGACCAAAGAAAAATTCAATTTGACTAATCTCGAAATCCGAACGGTCTAATAAGAAAGCGGCAACTTCAATTGTTGCAGCACGAGGGACTTGCAAAATTTCAATCACGTAGTCAATATATCACACAACATCGAGAAAAGTTTTCGTACATTCTTAAATTTCGTCTATATCGACAGCCCGTAAATAAAGTATTTCATATTTATATAGGGTTAGCTAAATAGCTACGTATATCTTAAGGGTGTGACGTTGACAGTCATTAATGGCTAATGCTACGGATCGACTTATAACCTATAAATCACACGAAAGTAACTTTACGCTTACTTGAAGCCCTTGAATTTCGTGTATAGTTAAACTAAAATACATAGTACAAAAATGGAACGGACGGAGGACTTTGCTCTCACTACTACACAACAACAAGCCTGCGTACCAAAACATTGTCCCTTCCGCCGTAAACTCCACGGCCATTACCACCCTTTGGTACCGTCACGACTAACTCTCCGTCCACAAACACCGCCGTAGCCAGCTCCGGCTTCGCCGACGCAGGCAACCTAAACCTCCACGTGTCCACCTTCAGTTGTTCCAACAACAACTCCGCTTTGCCACCTTTGTCTCCATTTCTCACCACAATCTTCGTCACTCCAGGATGTATCTCCACTGCCTCAGCCCTCACATTACCAACGTCAATGGCGCTGTTGACATCACCGTGCACGCCGATTTCGGTCACGAAACGGAAGAATTCCGGGTTTTCTTCCACCTCCACATCCGCATCGGACCGGAACGGCAATTCAAGAACCTTGCCAAATACGTGAGGCAGTTTTCGAAGTTTTTTTATGCCGTTTCCTGCCATTACTGTAGTTGAGACAAAGAATAAGAAGAAGAGAGGAGGAGGAGTTCGAATCAAATACCTTGGCAAATGGCTACGTTTTTTGTTGCATGGAAAAAAGATGGACCCTTATGCTCTTGTTTTGTAGGTTAGAAATGACGACATGAGAATAAAGTGACAAGAACCTAAATCTTGATAAGGTTCACAATTGTGGGGCGGTGAAAAGATGGAATCATTTTAATGTATGAATGACAAGAGCTTTATTTTCTTTCATAATCATTTAGTATCCTGTCGCTACCCATTTTCTGAACAAGTCGGGACTGACACTCAATTACTAAACGTGACCGAGCAAATCATCTGCGCTTATTAAATCTGTCATAACTTTAAACTTTATATGCCACAACGCACTACTGTAACCAAATACTTTTAAATAATTTAAATATCTAAAATAAGCCAACTTCAAAAGTTTATTCGTAGTAACCAATAAAATACTGCTAAGTCATTATCGAAAACATCTGAATCTTAACCCACCGACGGTGTCTATGAAGCCTCTACTGATAAACTGACGTACTGCTCAGGACATGAGATTTCCTGACCAGTTCTCTAAGTAAACAAAGAAATAACTAAATAAAGATTACTCTAAGGAATACTCCACGAACAAAAGCGAAGCTCACCAATAGTAGCCTGCTCGCCTGCAAAACCGGTTCCTACGTTGTACCGCAGACCAACGTAGGTTCCCAAAAGAGATGGTCAGTACCATCCATTGTACTCAGTGAGTCTCAACGACAAGGACGAAACTTTAATAACATATACATTACGAGCAAATTCCTAAATGCATATAAGACATAAAGCTTATAAGAACAACTCTAAAATAATTGCATAATAGCAATTTATGAATATTCTAAAAGAAATTCTTTTCTTTTTCTTTCTTATAAAAAAAAATACTTTACTTTATACTTTGGGAGTTCCAACTATCCTTACTTAATTCTGTCTCAGTCACCGTGTGATTGGCACGTGTCGTTCCCAACCTGATCGAATAGGCTCAATCCACGAGGTGCCACTCGCTTCATGGTTCTCAGCGCTCATGTATCATACCTTAGCATGGCTAAGTAAATTCTTAGCCACGAGACCCTCGGCTCGTGTGCTCCCTACTTTGGCACAAGTAGTTTCAGGAAGTCAACGCCTTGGTCAGGACCATCGGCCTGGACGATGACCCCTTCTCAGAATAAAGGATACTCCTAAAAATCTTTTCTTTCTACAACTTCTTCTTGTGACTTTTCATGTCTAAATCTTTTCTTTATAGAACCTCATGTACATGCTCGTGCTGGTATCCTTAAATGTAAAGCATGGCATAAGAATGAAATAAACATGTAAAAGTATTTCTAAAGATTCTTGCTTCTTCATAAATTTTCAACATGAAAATAGCATATAAGAATTACACAAAGATCTAAAAATTTATGCACATATATCATAATAAATCATCTAAACTTTTGCTGGAACAATTCTATGCACATATATCATAATAAATCATCTAAACTTTTGCTAGAACAATTCTAATTTAATAGGTACTCACTCACTCCAATTAAGTAAATATCTCTTTTAAGCAATTCATCAAACACCTTGTATGCGTGCTTTTGTGAGTTAAACCACTTTAGTAAAGGGGTTATATCAACTCACCTCAAAACTTTTCGAGCCAATACGTAGGCCCCAGTCCAATTGACACCAGTCAAACAATCGATTCTACAACAACCAGTGAGTGCATTTTAATCAATTTTAAAGTTTCACACCTAAACATGAAATTTATTGTTGATATAGAGGAAGAAGGGAATTAACTATCCTATTCTTACCTACTACTAATTTAGGGTAATTGACAATAGGGAATTTTATATACCTGAGTTCAAGAATTAGTGACTTGTAAAGAAACATAAACTTCCCGTTGCCTGCGTGAATATTGAGCAGCAAGGCTCTGTCTCACGATTCTGTGTTTCGTGCGTGAACAGGGGCTTTTTAATTCTGCGTTTCACGATTGTGCGCATTCTGTTTCTTAGTCCAAACCCCTTTTTACCTCTTTTGCAGTCCACAACCCTTTATGGGTTAAGGCCTTTCACGTTTCCCTTTTTATTTGTTTTCCCTTTTCTTTTCTTTTTTCTTTTTTTTGTGACTTAATTTGTATTTAATTATATCTACTTTTAGTAATTAATAATATTAAAATTATTAATATTCCCCTAATTGTATATCCAATTATTTATAAATAGAGAAGTAACTTAAAAATCAATTACAAGGGTTTAATCCGTAATAGAAGTATAATTTAAGATTAAAAAAAATTAAATTCTATATTTAGCGTATCTTGAAACTTTTATAAATTTGAGGAGTGTTACAATCTTCCCTCCTTAAAAACATTCGTCCTCGAATGTTGCTAGGGCCTTATTCTTAAGCTAACAATCATTTCTTAGGTCCTTGAACCTCTTAAGTTTTATTAGCACTACTCACTCTTGCAAGGGACTCAAAATTTTGGCTAACTCCCTAAAATTTTAAAAATTTCGGCAGAGTTTCCCTTGTAAATTGGACTATCAAAAAAGAATTTCCCTGTCACAAATACCACAACTGCACCAACAACAACCAAATATACCATAACATGCCATTCATAGGCACCATACACAGCTCATATATTAGTTACTCACACTCCGGCAAGGAGGTACCACATTGTTAAATGTACTCTGGCGTGGCACTAAATTGTTAAATAACTAAATATACTCGTACAAAAACTAAATTCAACAACTAAGTATAATCTAGCAAGGACATAAACACATGCTAACTTGTATTTAATAAATAAAATATAAATGTCAAACCAAACTTAGGTTCACATACCTTTTTCCTCAAATAAATATGGATATTTCTTTCTCATATCTTCCTCGACCTCCCATGTAGCCTCTTTTGAATCATGATTACTCCACAAAACTTTTACTGATGCTAAATCTTTTGTTCTCAACTTTCTTACTTGCCTATCGAGAATTTCTATAGGTACCTCTTCATAAGTCAAGCCTTCTTTTATTTCTATGGTATCGGCAGGTATTATATGCAACTCATCATGAATGTACTTTCTAAGCATAGACACATGAAAGACAGGATGAACAGAGGACAACTCAATAGGTAGCGCTAGCTTATAAGCCACGTTTCCTTTCTTTTCTAGAATTTCATAAGGTCCGATAAATCTAGGGCTAAGTTTCCCTTTCTTACCAACCCTCATAACTCCTTTCATTGGTGAAACTTTCAAAAATACCATATCACCAACCATGAACACTAACTCACGACGCCTCTTGTCAGAATAAGACTTTTGACGACTCTGAGCCGCTTTTAAGCTTTCTCTAATTAGCTGAACTTTCTCCAAGGCCTCACAAACAAACTTGGACCAATCAACGGCACCTCTTCCGGTTCAAACCAACCCACTGGAGACCTACATCTCCGCCCATACAACGCTTCATAAGGAGCCATACCAATGCTGGCCTGATAGCTGTTATTGAAAGCAAATTCTATAAGTGGCAAGTGATCATCCCAATTACCTCCAAAATCTATAACACAGGCACGCAGCATATCTTCGAGAGTCTGAATGGTCCTTTCTGCCTAGCCATCGGTCTGTGGATGGAAAGCGATGCTTAAATTGACCTTGGTACCTAAGCTTTTCTGAAATGCCTGCCAAAAATGCGCCGTGAACTGAGGGCCTCTGTCAGATATGATTGAAACTGGAGTACCATGCAATCAGACTATTTCTTTAATGTACAACTGCATACTGCTATGCGGAATGTGTCGTCTTTACTGGTAGGAAATGCGCGGACTTTGTCAGTCGGTCTACAATAACCCAAATTGAATCATTCTTACGGTACGTGCGAGGTAGACCTACTACGAAATCCATATTAATCATCTCCCACTTCCACTGTGGTATCTCTATATCTTGAGCTAGGCCACCGGGCCTCTGATGCTCGGCTTTGACTTGCTGGCAATTTAAACATTTAGCCACATAATCTGCTACTTATTTCTTCATGCCTTTCCACCAATACAACTCTTTCAAATCTAGATACATTTTGGTAGCACCCGGGTGGATAGAGTACCTCGAACTGTGAGCTTCCTCCATTATCGCCTTCCTAAGACCATCTACATCAGGCACACATAACCGATCATTCAACTTCAAAACTCCGTCACTTCCTAGAGTGAAAGCAGTGATTTCTTTATTTTTGACTCCTTCTTTAAACTTCACTAAGTACGGATCTTCGTCTTGCTTAGCCTCAACATGCACAACAAGGGAGGATTGCGCTAAGGCATAAGCAGTTATACCTCCTTCTTCGGTCTCATCCAATCTAATTCCATCATTTGCTAGTTTTTGAATTTCTCGACCCAAAGATCTCCTTTGTATTGCAAGATGGGCCAAGACACCCATTGACTTCCTACTAAGTGCGTCTGCTACCACATTAGCTTTGCCCGGGTGATAAAGGATATTAATGTCATAATTTTTCAATAGCTCGAGCCACCTTCTCTGTCTCAAATTTAATTCTTTTTGCTTGAAAATGTACTGGAGGCTTTTGTGATCTGTAAACACTTCAGAATGCTCGCCATAAAGGTAGTGTCGCCATATTTTTAATGCAAACACCACTGCTGCAAGCTCCAAGTCGTGTGTGGGGTAGTTCTTTTCATGATTCTTTAACTGCCTGGAAGCATAAGCAATAACTTTTCCATTTTGCATAAGAACACAACCAAGACCGACTCTGGAGGCATCACAATACACTGTGAACCCACCCGAACCTGTCGGCAAGGTTAACACAGGTGCAGTGGTCAACCTTTTCTTTAACTCTTGAAAACTCTGCTCACAAGCGTCTGACCATTGGAACTTAACTGCTTTCTAAGTCAACTTAGTTAATGGAGCTGCAAGTGAGGAAAACCCTTCTACAAACCTTCTATAGTAGCCAGCTAACCCCAAGAAAATCCTGATTTCGGTTGGCGTTGTCGGCCTAGGCCAGTTCTTGACTACTTCTGTCTTCTGAGGGTCTACTTTTATGCCTTCACTAGATACCACGTAGCCTAAGAATGCCACTGATTGCAACCAGAACTCACATTTTGAAAACTTGGCATAAAGCTCATTCTCCTTCAAGGT